AATGCACTGTGCTCTATCAGACTGATGGTCCTTTTTAGCAGAATGCGATATCAACGGGTACCAGGGGCGAGAGAATGGAGAGGGGGTCCATAAAAAGCCCCAAATAAAAGGCTGTTCTCTCTGCTCCGTCTCCCCTGTCCTGTGATGGAACGGCAAGAATGCGGCAGGCAGACCGACTGGATCTCAGAGCCGTCAGCCCCTAATGAATTTTAAAAGGCCTTTTTCATTCAAAGCAGGGTGCTGGCTAACAGCATGTCGCCTGGCCAAGCACTCAGGGGAGAAAGGGGAGAGAGGAGAGAAGAAGAGAGGCGCATAGAGGCTTGGAGGGAGAGGAGAAGGAGGTGCTGGCAAAGTGAGTTGGCACCTAGGCAGGGTGGGGTATTGGATGTCCCTCACAGTGAGAGATAATAGGCCACTCTGCATGAGAAGCCACTGTAGGAGCATTCTTGACCCTGCCACGAGGGTCTGAAGAGAATAGAGGGAATGTGAGAGACAAAGAAAGAAAGAAAGAACGACAGTTAAGGAGGAGAGAAAGAGAATAAGGGCCAGAGAGGAGAGACAGACCTACTAACGACAGTGTATTCTGACAAAAAAGAAACTTGAAATGTCTGCACCCGTTGAAGGAATTGTTTGCCACTTCGGGAAATAGACTTACTCGCTTTCTTGCCCAGAGTGAGATAAGAATATCGATGCCACTCATGTCTGAACAGAAACACGAATCTACAGCCAGCAGCGGTTAGCTTAGCACAAAGACTGGAAAAGGGGAAACCACAAGCCTTTCTTGCTGTGCAAACATAAAATTGGTATCAACTGTATTCTCTAATACTTGACAAGAAAGCAAATAAGCATTCGCCAAACTGTTCCATTAAAGGCTACCACAGCTTGACAGTACATTAATCTCTACTGTATGCAACCTTTTGTCACAAAGATAATGAGCACTTTAACTTCCACAAAGCATAGAGGTGAGGAGGTATTGACAAAGACGTATCTGATTCAATGATTGATGAACCTGAAATTGGCAACTGTACCCAGTGGAGGGATTTACTCTTTTGTAAATGCAGCATGAATCACATAGGGGAACATTAACTTCAAGTTTAATCTGCTGTAATTAGCAGTGTATCTGTGGGGAGCTGTTAAGGCCTTACAGTGGCATGCTAAGTGTTTTGTCAATCATGATTACAGCACTTAACGCTCTGACACAACCTATAGCAAAACATGCATTTGTTTTGTTAGACTGACACAGGTTAAGCTGGCTGAAGAAGAAAGGAGACTTTAATGTAAATTACATTTATTGGTTGCTTTATTGGAGGAATTTTCTGGAGAACGGTGTGATCCAACCATTCAGCTGTCATTGGCATGGGGTCAAAGAAAAGTGGAATATGGTTATTAAAAAAAATCCCCACAGATTTAAAATAACAAGAGATATCAGTGATTGTAAGGGGTCATGTCGGAACAAAATCCTCATTGAACTTTGAAGTAGATGTGTGAGAGCAGGAAAAATATGCACTCCTGCCAACTATGCACAAGTATATAGGTTATTTGCTTCAGTGAATCCCTGTTTCTGCTACAACATGCTGATGGCAGCGTTCAAATGTGCCGAAAAGTACATGAAGAATGCAGGTCAAGAGTGTGATGGTATCAGGAGGGCTTTCTTGGCTTACATCAGGCCTGTGAGTGCCAGCTGAGAATTGCTGAAGCACCACAGCCAATGGGAAGGTTGTAGCTGAGCAGGTGCATCCCTTTATGGCCATCGTAATCTTTGAATATTTCCAGCACAAACAAGAATTGCTCCAATAAGTTGCGCGCGGTCCCAGGATCTGAAGCCAACAGGGAATCATTTGGGATGAGATGCAGTGCCATGTAGCGTTTCTGCTTTACCTGTGCATTCCCCGTTGGACTGTTTGGGACTTTGAATGCATGCTTTTATGAGCAAAACGGACCTATTTCTGTTAAAATGAAATATGTTTACAGATTACTTTTGGTACCACCACACAGAAAATAAAATCATGTGTGCCTTAAATCCCACACAGCCCATGCGTACCTGTCCAACTGCTCTGAGTCTGCACCCACAAAACTTCTGGAAGGCATATGTGGGTCACACTTGGTGCTGATGCAAAATGAAAGTTTAGGTCATTAGAAACTGATGTTGGAGTAGACTGGATGATTCAGCCGCTTGGCTCTAAAGCCACGGATTGATATTACACAAAGTCTGCTTTGTGAGCAGTTTAGTTAAGTGATTATTCTAGTTTTTCTTGCAGAATTTGAGCAACAGCCTTTGTTTAATTATAGTTAGTGATGAATTACAATAAGTGTGTAATTTATCTTTGCGTAGTCCGTGTATGCCTGACCATTCACAAACTGTATACACTAGACCATTACATCACGGCACTCAATCTTCTCAGTACGCACGTTTAGAGGGAGGAACTGCAGTAAAAATGGGGTGACATGGTACTTTTTCATGATCCTTTTCAAATGTAGTTTGTCGTACTTTTTTTTCAGCCCCAGTATTTGTGCTTTGTCCACATCTTATTTTCTCTGCGCACTAAACATCTCGCCCAAACTCACATGCTACATTATTTTTGGTCCGTGTGGAAAGACAGCCTAATTGATGTTCTCTACCACACACACACACAAACACACACACGCACACACACACACACACACACACACACACACACACACACACACACACACACACACACACAAACACACACACACACACACACACATCAGACACTGCAGATATCACGCTGTTGCCTATGTATAGGGGCCTTTACGTTTCACATTGGGGGGGCTGAACAGCCTTTGGGTCACATCACCTCTAGTGATGTCAGAGGAAATGCCAGAGAGATGAGGTAAAGAGCTGCAGATTCCTGGGCAGACGGCCGCTGTGATAGTGGAGGCTCCAGTGAGCTAGAGGAAGAAAGGAAATAGCAGTGGCTGATAATGATGGTAGACACAAAGCACAGTGTGTAAAAATGCGTGTGGCCTTGTGAGGAAAGGTGTTTTGCCAAGATGGATTTCACAGACATGCAGACAAGTTTGTTTTTAATATATGAAATGTTTGAACTGGCTGAGGTTTCCTCGCAATCGATGAATCAGTGATTGAGCGGGAATTACCTTGCTGGGACCACCTACAATTCCACAGCAATGTGACGCAGAGACAACATGACGAACAAACATCTTAAGCTTAAGTTCTGTCAAAATCATCTGAATTATTTATTTCCTCAGAATCTGACTCAACCTTTACTACCCACTCATCATCCCTACAAACCTTACTAAATGGAAAGCAGAGAGTTCCTCGGCGGTGCCTTGGCTTGCTTTTGCATCGCATGAAAACAAAAAAAACGAGAGGGATTAACCGTTACCTATACTTAATATGCTGCTTGCTGTTGCCGTCAAAGCTTTTAAGAAACCACTAATGAATTTGTGAACCCAGTTCCTTGGAAGGACGTTGTGTTCTTCCTGGTTAACTGAACTAGAAATATGAGCAGAGTTCCCGCAGTGAGGATGAAACATGGAGGAGGAACATTTAATTATCCTGTGGGATTCCACTGTCTGTTTTCTGGAAAGTGAAAAGATTGGAAATGTGCCATTGTGGTTGTGAGCCATCAAGTCATAAGGATGATTGACTGTTTAGAGAAACAGTCATCCAAACAAACAGCTGTAGAGACGAATGAATGTTAATGAATAGACACTCAGCTGCCAGTTTATTAGGTACACCTAGCTAAAACCAATGGAGTCTAACACAACATTCTGAAACTGTTTTAGAGAGCTGTTGAGTCAACTTTCGAATCATTTTGCAGAATGTAGTTTGTAGTGCTGTTGAACTATATCACATCATACAGAGAGGTGTTTCTTGTTATTTAGCCTGGCCTCACTGATATAAATGGGGTGGACAAAATAGTAGAAAACACCTGTCAGTATTATGCAATACAATTCAACAGCACCACAAACTGCAACCTCCAAAATGACCATACAGTCGAAGGAAGGATTTACTGTAGGACTAGTTTCAGCTAGGTGTACCTACTAAACTGGCTACCTTAGCATATAATACTATTATGTGGGTATGTGTGCATAAGAATAAGATGGTTTTGTATTCATATGTGTACATGCTGGCCTTTATTGCGTTATCTGGCAGTGCATGGCAGTCTACCTGGATAACCTCATGGTTCGGCCCTGCACATATGAGGAGAAGCAGGAGCATTGTGTTCGCCAACAAGCACAGTGAGCAGGCTGAGGTCATAGTGAGATAGGGCTTGTGGAAACACTGATGCTCTCGCTAACATGACTGGCCTTGGAAACTACTCCCGCAGGAACCCCAAAAACAGGACAGTAAAATCACACTGGGCGGTCAGACAGGAGAACAGACCAGCCGAGGTTAAGCCAAGAAAAAGACCTGCTCTTTCCTCAGGTTTCCAGTTCAGCACAGAGGACATCCAGGTGAAGTGTGGTTTGCCCCTTCATTTTCCATCCAGGGAGTGCGTTTCGTAATATATGTTAATACTATCCTGGGTGGCAGCCATCCTTTTACTTCCTTCCTATAAATATACGAAAGACAGATGACCCAGACCATGAGGACAGGAAGAGGTTTTCTTAGTTTGTGTTGGTCCTTCAGCGTACCTATTTTCCTCAGCCACTGCCTTGTTAAAGTTTTAAAGTACTTCCTCCAAAATGACATCATTTCATGGCTCATTAAAATGATGTCATCGCAACCTGTCGGGGAAGGTTTTGTTTCAGCGTACTCAATCTCAGGAATCTGGGTAAACACTGTACCTCACAGAAATCCAGTGAAAATCCTCAAACTGATTTTCATCATCTTGTTTACAGATGTCTGATTAGAACTGGACCGTATCATAATATTCCCGAAGATAGGAAATGCTGATGGTTTGGACCATTTGGTGGTGTCGCTTACTGTACGTCATCACAGTTCAGTCTTTTGTTTAGTATCAACAGATGTTTTTAGAACCTTTCTGTTTGTGTCCTTGTGGTTGTTCCAGACGGAGGCAATGAAAAAAGCTCTGAAGGACTTGAATCTGAACATTGTGGAAATGACTGACGAGAACGCCACACTGGACGGCGGAGATGTGCTTTTTACAGGTGAGCTATGACTCCTCAATCACTGTATTTTGTTGAAATACCTTAAAGATCTGCACCATCAAAAAACAGTCTGAAGCCATCCACATATGAAAGATTTTACAGAAAAAAATGAAGCTGACACTCTCCCTAGAGGTGAACCATTGTTTCTTTGGCATTTTTTATGCCCCATATATCCCATACTTGCATATAATAATAAAATAGTAGGTGCTCTATAAGCTCGAGATCAATATAATAGTTGTTAGTTTTTACAGGAACAGGATTAAAATATAAAAATGAAGCTGAGGTGAGACAGGGTAACGTTTGCCTTTACACCTAGCTTGGAAGGTGGCACCATGTCATCTGTGTCAGTTTGTACTGTGTGCAAATGTGGATACACACAAGCCTAATATTTCATACTGTGGGGTTGCTATGGCATCGGTATAAAATGCATCCTGAGGTTTTATTGCCTGCCCTGTATTTGGATCTCATTTCCCAAACAGTGTTACCTGTGTGATGTCAGTCGCAGGGCAGGCAGACAGCGGAAAAAACTGCACGCCACTTCACACACAAGTGAGTTGGAGAGCTAGTTAGTTCCGCCAACCCTCTCTGGCAGACAAACTACTGCTGGGTGATGGAAAATGCGTCACTAATTCTGCACCACTTGCGATTTTCCCTGGGAATGTCGTCACAGACACCCAGTTCATAATACTGCAAATACAGGGCCTTTTATCGGTGGACCATAGACTCAGTCACCACTGTGTGACCTCATTCGGCAATAGGTAGTGAACTAAGAGATATTTAATTACACAAAACACACATAAACAAGCAAAGCTTTTTAGCTCATACGGAAACCTCATCTTAAGCAGCAAAAGAATCTACAGCAAAAGAGAATCATTTATGTAATATTTAATGTAACACCCCTCAATATACAAGTGTTGGATGGATCAAACAACATACTGGTGACTTTGCGTTTCTCCCAGCTTGTAAACTATAAAGTTGGTCCTGTGAGTGGAACCTGGGAAAGACCGCGGCTTCATCAAGGACTTTCCTCCATTTTTTCCTCAAACACCAGTTCACATTATGATGGCAAATGAACATTGTTTTCCACACAGTCAACAGGGATGAAATATTTCTTTTACAAGCTTGGATGCTTTTAATTTGATTTCCTGCATGGCATGCTTTTAGGTCAATCAGCACATAGATAAGTAACATTATTGGCATAAACCTTCGCAATAAGTATCTGGCTCTGGTGAGCAGCTTACAAAAAATTGTTTTTCCACCTTGCTTCAATGATTGAGGTCAGTAATGACGTGGGTTCTACTTTAGATTTTTCCCTGTACTGCCATAAACAAATGCAGAAATCCTCCAACCATTACAGAAAATACTTTAAAGCAGCAACATAATGCACATGTTTCTGATTGGATTAAAATCGTACAACAGGTTGTTTAGTGGGTTTTCCATTATTTTTGCTTAACAAAACACCTGATGTGTTATTCTTAACATGATACATACAGTAACAGGTGTCACTCTTGGTTCAAGACATGGTAAACAGTCAGGGAGAAGTCTGACAACTGAGCAGCCACATGTAAAGCTGGGTTTTACTGCAATCCAATACCTTTATATCAGAGCTGTGCATGTGCTTGTTCAATTCAAGTACAAATAAGAAGATGTAGCTGTAAACAGAAAACATTAGAGAGCAGTGAGATAGCAGAGTATGAGCCTCTGCAGTCTCAGCTCACAGACTGTTGTGTGTCTGTAAGTTCGTGTCTGTGTTTCGGGATCCTCCACGCAAACATTCCTCTGTGCGACCTCAATGACCCGGTGCCTCAGCACACTAAGCAGAATTTCCCTCGAAAAATATTCTGTCGCAAAAACATTGTGCAACACATACTGCAGGGTCAAATCAAATCAGCTGTACTGCAAGCTCCTTATTCCTCTGGCATCAGATCGTAAAATATGGTGAGGGCAGAGAATCATCGGTACAGTCGTGTGGTGAGTCGAAATGTGGGTCAGTGTCTTCTACACTGCACAGGCCACAAGGAAAAAGCATAGTACACTTAATTGGGTTTCTAGACACTGGCTCTACGTGCTCGTTCCTTCCAGCTGAAATCGGTTTCACATGGCAGGGCTAGAAACATTTCCTGTTGGCAGGGCCCCGGCTAACGGCTCATTTTGTAAAGTCTCAGCAGCTACGTTAGAAGCCCATCCCTGAGCTCTGTGCTGCTGCAGCTTCGCCAGGCATTCAGGGCTCTGTCTGCCTGTGCCCCACCATACTGACCACAGTTGGCCTTTCTCACAGGCATGCATAAAGTACACACTGTGGTGAGTGCAGTGTTCACCTTCTGTAGCTTCACTGCCTCGCTGTATTGCTGGGTGCTCAAAACTTTTAGACTAAATCACTGTAGACTTTATAGATGTTAGAACTGTTTGGGTGTGTGTTCATACTGCATGTATTATACAAGTTGTTAGTCCTTTATCCCACCTGCTGTATTTTGCTGCATTTTCTCTACATGTTTCAGCTCGACTGAACTCACTTTTAGTACCAAGTGCTTTCTCTGTTTTGTTTAACACTGCGGATGCCGCGCATAAACTGCAATTGCCAATTTGAGGGTAGTTGGCTGTTTTAATATGCTGGGTTTGTGCTGGCTGTCACATGTCACACAAGTGATGATTCTCTCTGAACAGTCAGTGGTCTGCAGTCTTTTAACTCCATCTCTCCTGGAACCTCGACCCAGGTGGTACCAAAAAAGGCACCGGGTACTATCCACAACTTTTGCCAATGGAAAGCCAAAAAAGAGTGAGTCAAGGTGTGCCGCACCATGCAGGGGGAATGCGTCATTAGTTTCTTATAGATGCTTTTGCACAGCCTCGTTACCTTGTGTTTCTTTTGTGATCAATTTTTGTCTTTGATATGTATAGCTAGCTATTTATTAATGTATTTATTTATTTCCATGTATGTGGCAAGCTACTGCATGCAGTTGATCCCACTGGCATAGACAAAGTTGTATTGAACTGAACCAAATTAAATTGAAGTGAGTAGAATTGATATTTGCTTACATAACACCAGTGATGTCTGTTTCTTTCCTCAGGGCGAGAGTTCTTCGTGGGCCTTTCCAAACGAACCAATCAGAGAGGAGCAGAGATCCTAGCAGATGCCTTTAAGGTGAGTTTAAATGGTGCAGTGGTGTCAAAAGTGGCAGAATCACGACTCATACTTAAATAAAAGTAAAGATACCTTCCTCAAAAATGACTGGTATCTGCATTTTAAGTGTACTTAATTTGCATTCATTCATAATTATAGAAACTTTGGGGCAGTGCTACAAACTGTAAACACAACTTTGTCATGTACGTAGAAATGGCAAATATGCTTGCCAACAGTTGAAAATATGAATGTCCAGCAGGCACATAGTATCATAAGCATTTAATTGGGGGCCTGTTTGCAGCCAACTGCCACATGTAAGGCCAATAATGACAATCCTCTCACCCCTGATTTGATTTCCACCCAATTCTGAGGGAAATATCTGACTCTTAAGCTGCTAAATGGTCCACTTTGTTCACCACCTATTCGATAACTTTCTCTTTTTGATGTTCATTACTACACAGCCAGGGTATAGTGGATTTTGGGGGCTTTTTTTGCACAAAGCCCGTATGCCTACTGCAGCTAAAAATAATGTTGATAAGACCTGTGGGAGGAAACAAAAATGGTGAGGTAGCTGGTCTACTGCAAAAACAATGAGCTGAGATATGCTATAAAGCTCCACTGAGCAGAGGGGAACTACGGAGTGGGGCTCTGTGGGTTTGTCACAATGTGCACATTTTTGCCATCATACATTTGGCCCATTGTTTATACACATGTATATCAATTAGAGCAGCTTTAAGGATCAAAAAAACAAAAGTAAGTTTTGTTTTATGTCTGTAAAGATGCATATTAACCTGAAACCAGTTTTGAGACTTTGTAGAGGTCAGCATAAAAATATAGAAATGTATTGAATCTGTTTTTTTTTTTTTTTTTTTTAATGTACCTTATGAAATCTCTTAAATGCTGTGAGCGATCCGACATTGCAAACAAGGAAGGAAGAGATAAATATATTATCAATCATACAAGCTTTAATCCAGGAAGATAACAACATCATCACTCTGTTCATTTGCTTTTTTCATCCTGTTCCACCTCCTGTTCTCTCTTAATTCCATTTCTTCCTCCATCCATCTCTGCCTCATTTCACCCTCTCTGTTCTGTTTATTATATCTATCCTCCATCCATCTGTTTCTTCTGCCTTTCAGTCTGTGTCATTATGGACTAAATACTGTTGAGAACATACAAGTCCAGTGCAAACTGGGCATTGGCAAGAACATTCAAACATTCACTGAATATTTGTATATATAGTAACTTTGTGTACATTTATATTGACATAAAAGTGAGAGCAACCAAAAGAATAAATACTTGTGCAGAGTACAATTTTTTTTAAAAAGTATTTCTGTTTGTTATTTAGCACTCCTGAAGCGAAGCACTCTGAGGTTATTGATGGATGCAGCTGTAGAGAATCTCAATGGCAATTAGTCTTTAGTGCCCGCCAGGGTCCAGGCCTCAGCTGGCTTTGAGGCATTTTTAATCAGCCGTTGATGCAAACCTCTGCCACCTCTGTGTACAGTGATGAAACGGGCAGTTGATGACACTGATTAAAAAGGTGATTTGGGAGGAGAACCACCTGCCTCATCAGTTGCTTCATTCATTATCATCATCATCATCATCATCATCGATCAATATGTCTGTTAAAATAAATGCATTCAAAGACATTCTTTACTTTGGAGGTGAAATACTGTTTTCCTCTAAATGAATGAATGAACCGCTGACTCCTTTTGGAGGCTTGGAGGCTAAAAAACATCTTTCTGAAATATAATTTACAGAGTGAGAATGAAAACTGGCTTTTCTCCTTTTGGAATTGGACAAATGTTTAATCACTAATCAACTCACTTTGATAAATAGCTCTCATATCACAGAAAAGGATACTGTAAGTCTGATAATACTCTGAATTTTACTTATTGTCAACAAATCCCATTAAAGGAACCAAAATCAACAATAAATTGATCCCAATAACTATTTAAGTATTGCCTTTGTAGCTAGAGTCTGACAAAGGTTATTTCTCAGTACCAAATACTTGCATTGTTTTTCAAAACACATTAAAAACACATCAGTGACCCACCGTGTTGTGCTGATTTCCTACATTACAGTGAATAAACACACTGTCCTGCAGCTGTAAATACTTCCCAGTGAACCAAATTGGCTGCTGAACTTAGTGCACTACTTGAGTAACATTTGCTAAAAAAAACTACCATGCCAAACTATTTTAGGAAATTATTTAGCCTCTTTTTTGGGCCCCAACAATAGTTATGTTTTCAAGTTGTCTGTGCTTCTATACACTTGTGAATGCAATATCTCAGGACGCCTTAAGGGAATTTCTTCAGATTTGGCACCAACGTCCACTTGGACTCAAGGTTGAATTCATTAGATTTTGGGGTTCAAAGGTCAGTGTGACGTAAAGTTCTGCAAAAACACTTTTCTGGCCATTACTCAAAGCCATAACTCAAAAACAGAAGGGGAGACATTTGGTTGGATACTGCATTGGTGACATTAATCTTAAGCAACCACCTTGAAACAGTGGTGATTGTATAGATCCTCTGTGGTGCTGGGCTGAAGATGTGTATGTAGCATCCATGTTTTAGAATATCTAGGTTTTTTGCAGCAACATCCATATTTGAAGCTTTGTCATGTTTGAAGCCACTGCCATGACTACATATGAGTCTGGACAGTCATTGACATAAACAGCAACAGGCTAGTTGGCATGTAACTGTAAGGTGGTAATTCTTTTTTTTTCTTGAATAAAAGTCTTTGTGACCCATTCAAAGATTAATTTCTTCATTAAAAACAAGCTTGGAGATCAGTGCCAAAGAATAGACAGAGAGGTAAGGAAGTATGGAGAGATGGATGGCTGGTATTGTTCTTTTAATAGGATTTCTTGACCCCAAGAAAAATATTGCTCACCAGACTTGTCCTTAATGTAAATGGCAACAGTAAGTGTATAAGCCCTGTTCATGTCTCTTTTCAACCCTTGCTGATGTCAGTCATTTTGCATTTCACCATATGTTCCTTTCTGACTACCTTCTGGCTTATTCCCATGCACTGTGGCCCGACCTTGAGAGCCACAACCGAGCTCAGCAATCACCACTCACACATGAAACACACGTCAAGAGGAAATGTTGCACAAAATATCCCAAACATCACTGAGACCACAGATTCAGGCAAACTGGGAGGATGTGGGCGTGAAGTCTGCAAACAGGGTCACAGTGTGGGTCACAAACACAGACTGATTCTATCAGTCTTGTTTGCTGTTGTTGGAATGTGAAGAAGTCTCACACTGTAGACTTTACGCGTATCGCTTTTGGATTTGGTCTGAGAGACCGTAACAAAAGAGAAAAGCCGGCCGACTCACAAGTTCATAGGTGGGTCATGGCATGAAGAGTTCAACACATTACAGTAAGATGAATGGCCTTATTGCTGTGCTTCCCTCTTCCCATCTGTATCTGATTTGAATTCCTCATTATGGATTCCTCTGTGTTTTCTGTTATCTTTGATAAGACAGGACTTAATGATGCGTCTCTGGCAAATGACACTAGGAAAAATCTCTTGAGCATCCATTATTGTTATTTTTTCCATTTTTTATCAGATTGATTCCTCCTATCACTGTTGTTCTTTCCTTTCATTATCAAATTAAGGATCACATTGTTGCCAGGTTTGTTTAGCGCTCAACAACTGTGTACAGATGTCGGAAGCTCTTTTCTTTATGGGCCTTGCAGAGGTCAGACCAGATGGTGCTGCTGATTGAATGAATTTATTCGGGAAGAAGCAGTACACAGGCCAAACCACTTCTTTTCATCTGCTGCTAAGAGGTGTTGACTCCCAACTTGAACCAATAAGACACGAACATGGACACAGCTAAAGAGCTAAACAGTGGAGCTCAGTGTGCTGTGCCTGTGGGTTGATCAATAGGGTCTTTTCAGGGGACAACGTGGCAGTAAATCAGCTTGTTTAGTGCAGATGAAAAGCAACTGCGTCTCTTCCTGAACTCCCATAAGGATTTATCTTGATAAGGAGAAAAGTATGACTCATATTTCTAATTTTGCACAGTAACAAAACTTCCTGTTCATGGATAATGACTGAAGGAAGTTCAGATTACATAATTCCCAGTTGTCCTTTTGTATCTTCTAAACAAGTGCCAAGGGAAGAGTTCACGAAAACATCAAGAATGGAGTAATTTAAGCTTTATACATGATGAACTGCGAAGTGCTATTCTGTATTTCAGTCACAGTCAGTGAATCATAGCACTTTAATTAAGCTAATGATGCAGTACAAATATTGACCTGAAAAGTGTTAACATATACTTGAATGGAAAATGTCACATAAGAGTGAAACTATGGAAAATGTACACAATACTTCATAGAGTTTCATGAAGCTGAGAGCCATGAAAACCAATTCAAAACATATTATGTGATTAAGAAAACATATGGATGTCAGTTGTGAGGCACAAACCAAAATTTATACGCTCATATAAATGCATTCACGTTGAATCAGGAAGGAAAGGTCTTGGCAAAATAAGCTTGAAGTCTCAAATCCTATCGTAATTCAAATTACAGCTCGGTATCACTTCAAGGTTTACAAATCTCTGAAGGACTCAACTCTGGCATTTGTAATCCTCGAAAGACTTACGGTATGTGTAACTGTCACAAACTGTGAGTCCATGTATCAAATGCTCAATCAATCAACTGGAAAGTGGTAAATTCTTCCAGTCCAGTAAATCAGTAAATCAAAATCCAAACAAAGTCAATGATATAAAATGATGTTGTTTCAGCAGGATGTGCTGTGCTATAATTCTTTAAATATGGACCTCAGGCTTTAATTACTGCAAACAAGGAGGCTTTCAACCGGCGTTTTAATGAAGGGGTCGAGCCAAAATCAGCTGCTTAAGTCTTAAGATAAAATACGATAGGCCCTTATACAGTACGGAATACTTTTCTATAGAAATGTATACTATAGTAATGATCCTATGCTGCACTAATGTGGACCATATATCAATCAATATGGATGCAATTGCTGACTGAATGCTGCTTTTATCCTCAGTCTGAAAAGTTTATTGATTTAAAGGCCCTTGTTTATGGATTGCACAGTAGTTTTAGTGAATAGGCTGTATTCAATCTTTTTACCGGTTTAATTCACTGGGTCCGTTTGATAACAGGAAGAGACCTCTGCAGATGATTTAGCTCTGGGTAAAAAACACATCAGGGTTTAATTTATCAGAGAAAAATGTGAGCACACATTAGTGGGTACTGGGATAGTGGCCCATCTGCAATGTGTCGGACAACGTAGGAGAAACACTGATTTGTAACTTATTCAGTGTTTTACCAGTTGTAAACACCTGGACCACTGCGGATAATTGGTTCCTAGTAATAACCTCCTGGAAAATGAACACTGAAGGAATACTAACAAGGAGAAGTTTCAGCTGGATGCAATCTGCAGTCCTCACCACTAGATGTCACTAAATCCCCCTAAATTGGACACTGTGTTCCTTTAAAGGCCCTTAAAACATATTTACTTAATGTCTTTATGAGTGAAGGGATCCCAAATGAGCAACATGTTCTGCCATAGTTTGAACTTGCTTTGCTCTTTTCAAATTCACATTTTTAACTGGTATAAGGTGGGCAGGGCTCCCTGGAAAATTGTGATGTCTAACAGTAACTGTTTAACAGCCAAGGATGTTTTTTTCCCAATCCCTGTCTCTGATTGTTGCCTATTTAGTTGTTTATATTTAATGTTCTAGAGATTCCGTTACCTGCAGTAACATCCCAACATTTGCTATACAACATCCTGCAACCAGAGGAAAGCCTCTCCAGTCAGGCTTTAACAAGTTTCTCTGCAATATCTTCATAACCCTGAGTTCAGTCACGATTTATCTCCTGGACACTTTTGCTGTTTTCTCCCCTGAGCTGCCCACTACTTCATTTTAAAGGTCATTTTTTAACAACTGCACAACGACACAGCTTTTGTTGTTGTTGTTGTTGTTTTATAAAAAACAACCCACAATATAGGCCTATTACATTGTTTCACACACACTGACTGGAGCTGCAGTGCTTTGTTCTGTTTCCAAAGGACTGTAAAGCGTAGTCACCGACAAAGGGAGTCTTAAGGCTAAAATATAGTTGTGTGTGTGGACTCTATGCAGAGCCCAAGCAAGTGGCCTACACTGATGTGAGCATTTATGGTGCATGGAGCATGGCGTCTGTTACCCCTTTTCCACCCAAAATGGCACATGTTCGTGGTTTTATTTTTTAAACATACAGTAGATAAATCTGCTAAAAATCAATGCTGATCAAAGCCAATAAATACCCGTGACTACTGCAGAGTCATTTGACCCTGGTTTGAGTGCCAATTGTAGGCTTTCTCATTAGGAGAAGAAAAGCCAGATGTTAGTGAGAAAGGAGCTTGTGTTGCTCAGCAGTTAAACCTCCAAAATGGTAGTTAGCGATGGGGTTTCTATGCCACTGTGTTGAGTTTCTGGGAAGTAGTCTACTGTTATGTTTGATTGATTCAAAACACACATAAAACTATATATACTACAACTACAAAACTATATAACTATATATATAAAACATGGCTTAATAGTGACAATGTTAAACACAAACACAAAATTTGGCTCCTTTATAACTCCCAAGGTTCACCAACAAACAGTTGTCTTTTGATAGACACGTTTTCCCCAGAAATACAACAAGCTAACGTTATTAGCATAAGCCCATTACATTTCACATTGCATACATTAGCCTAGCAGCTAGCAGAGTTTTCCGCAGTTCATATGAAGCTGGGAACACAGCAACATTTAACAAAGGAATGTTACAAAATTCAGCTTCATTTTGGCTCAGAAGGTTCACTGACAAAACATATGTCTCATACTAGATACACTTTCCCCACATATACAACATGCTAATATTATTAGCATAAACCCATGACATTTACATTGCATAAATTAGCCTAGTGGCTAGCAGAATTTCTTTTACTTATTTTTAGCCCAAATAAGTCACACACAAGACTTAAAATGCTGTGCTGTTTAGCAGCTTACAACCATTTTAAGCCAGGCTTGTCAGACTATGATGTAGCGTACATGTCCATGCAGAGCCTACACCATAAACACAGCATCAGTTAAATGCAAATATATATACGCTTTACACTGAGTTGTCACACCTGTACAGCTCAATCCAAAAGAGAACCTTGCACAGCTTTACAGGTCATTACATGTCTGGGACAACATTACCACAGTTTATGTTGGGTTCTGACATTGTTGCTGCATGTAGCGCTTGTCTTGTTTTGTAATTACTTTCAAAGACTAGAAAGAGGTGCCATCACCTAATTGGATTGTGTTTTGCAGGACTATGCTGTTTCCACCGTGCCTGTGCTGGAAGGGCTGCACCTGAAGAGCTTCTGCAGTATGGGAGGACCGGGCCTTATTGTCATCGGCGCCAGTGAACCAGCACAGAAAGCCCTCAAAGTATGGAAACATGCATTTAGTGCACGATGTGTGTGTGGTTAAACCTTCATCCTATTGCTGTGCTTCTCCCAGCTGTAGTCATGGAAACCACTCAATCAATGTAGTGGCATTGTTTTTGTAGCTATGACGCACATTGACGCAGCTGATTTTTTTTTTTTTTTTTGGGGTTGACTCTTGGCCCAGTGCTGTTGGTGTTAACAGCCCTGTCCTTTTTTTCTCCCCTTCTGCAAAGTATTCAGCAAAAATAACACTACAAGACAGGACATCACACATGTTGATCCAGAGCAGACTCCCTTACTTACAGCTTGATTGCTTCTTCCCACTGCAGGCACATTGAGACCACCTGTCACCTTAATCCTTCCTCATTAATTCACGTTCTCAACTAAGCTGAGGGGATTGCCCCTGGCACTCACACTCCAGCTTTGGTTGCAAAGGTATTGTCCTTCCATTAAACAGCTTGAGCTCATTACTGCATAAAAGGCTTCTGAATCGATCGAGCGCCATCGCAACAATAGCCCTCAAAAAAATAAACACGGGGATGCTGAAGGACTCAGCATGAACAAGAGGCAGTTTGCACCCTGACAGAGACAGATTGGTCATTTTCACAAAGAGAGTAATAAATGTCAGCCCATCCCTCTGGTGGAATTATTCCTAAAATTAATCCTAAAATTCCTAAAAACACATGAGACAAACTTTTGTCGGCACTATGACTGAAACGCAGCCGAATATGTAATGTCATATTTGCTCTCTTAGACACAGATGCTGTATGTTTAATTACATAAGTATGAAGACTTGCACACAAGCACATACACCCTTGGCCTTGCTGGCAGGGTTTTTCACTTGCCTCCTAGAGTGATATCTCCCCCTACTGGTTCAATCCTACACAAGGTTACTTAAAGTCAAGTCAAAGCCACTTAGTGTATCTCAGGGGGCAATTAAAACCAGCCCATCTGACAGCACATCCTAATGAAGCAAAGTACTTGAGAGCAGCACAAGGTCAGACTTGTTGGTCTTGTGTGCATGTTTGCATAGCTGAAGTGTACACAGGAAGTCGAGAATCTTGTGCATAAACACACGCAATAATTGATTTTATATTCCAGCATCGACTCATTAAGATTCCTGCCTGTTTGATCACCCCAGTAATTAGCTACTGGAGCGAGGAGTGGCCGTTAGCGAGACTTAATGACAGACTGCTCGCTTTCTAATTATGGCTTACGTCACCCGCTCTTGCAGCAATTAGCTCCTGTTTTAAAGGACTTTTAACGACCCTGGATTTGTAATTAGGTAATGTTCTCTTTGTGAGGGGAGTGAGATCTCGTGAATGCTGTTTTAATGAATTCAAAGTGCTTGTTTTGGATGTGGATGCAGCTCCTACAGCTGTGAGGCTCCATGTCTGTGTACCCTAGGACAAAGACACTTTGTACAAATTAAAGTTGGAGCCTGACTCATTCAGTTTGTCTGTAGGGAGCTAGAATTTTGTAACTATAAAATATTCAGACCAGAGAGTAGACCCTGACCTGTTGGCAGTCTGGGTTTGGAGTAGAAGGTCTGTATATGTATATCTCACCGACATTTGGTTAAAAAGACTTTTAATTTTCACTTTGCTAAGCAGTTAGGCTCTGTCTTTATCTGGGATGTGTGCTCAGAATGTGTATTTGTGTAGGCCAGGTGTAGTCTGTGTTTAGCTCTCCCATGGATGAGAATACACGTTGACCGGATGGATTTCATCATCCATCTGTTGCTGTCACTGCCAAGCCTCACTCATGAAGTCATCATCCCGAAATACCACCTCTGTCAGAGGCTGCAGCACCCACTCCCTGCTGTCTCACACACGTAACCCTCCCTGTATTGGACATGCTGGGCAGGCTGTAGCTGACCAGTCACCACTGTTTGATTCATGAGGTCATGACTCTATACTGGTCAGGGCTTAGTCTTCACCTCAATGATGTTTACACACTTACGTTTTTATAGATAATGAGGTGATAATATGGTGAAGACTTTATTTAGGATGAGCTGTGTTTGATGACCAAATCCTGATTACAAACATATGTGCAACCTGTTTACCAAAATATGAAGATATTCTACGTTTCTGAAGAACTTTGATGTTTGATAAATGAATTGTATGTTTTACCTAGTGTTTAATATCCAGAGATCAGTAGCAAATACAGCACTTTAGATTGTTTGGATTTAGGTTTCTGAATTATCCCGAGACAATAATCAAACAAGATCAAGGTCCCATTTACGCGTGTACTGCACTGCCTTTTATTCTTTGTTTTTAAAATTGAATGCTACTAATAAAAAAAAAAAACACTTGCTGCGCCTTTTTATTGTTGCCAGGCAACCACCCTATCACCTCCTTACCCCTAACCTTCCTGTGTAATCAATTTACCATATATTTTGGCTCGCTAAAACTGCGTACTTGTTTCCACAGTAATTAGTAGCTAGTTACTAAAATGAACAGGCAGAGGCCGTATAGCTTTGGGGGTCCAGCAACCACTACCATCAGTTTCTCCACTGTTTACCAACTGTACACTTGTTGTTGTGACCACCACAGAAGGCCCGCCTCTCAAATCATCCAATTGGACAATGGGAAAAAAGTTGAAAAAAAGTTTTTTCAACTAGTCAACAGAGCGCTCTGGTTAAAAACGCAAGGCGCCTAGAGTGTAGAAATTCGAGGCGCCTAGCAATGCAAAAACAGCAAGCAAAAAACGCAATTCTCATTTAAAACAATTACAGGAAGCCACCTTCAGCTGCTAAAACACTTTCTGTGTGATTGGGGCCTTGGAGTCTACGGCCACGCTAAATGCTAAATGCTGACGTGAGCATGCTAACATGCTAACAGTAACAATGCTAAGAAGGGGAAGTTCAGCAGCTATAATATTGACCATATTCACCGCTTTGTTTCAGCATGCTAGCATTCGCTAATTAGTACTAGTCATTTGCCAGTTATTAACCACAGTATTGGTTAAACTAGAGGAAAGGCTGAGATTCATGCAGGAGGGGGGGACTGGACATGAATATCTATATCTATACAACATATGGCAATTTATTCAATAGTTGTTGAGATATTTCAGTCTGACCTGCATGGTGGATGACCATAGAAGCGAAAGTAGCATCCATGTCTGAAAAGTCAAGCCAATGCAAAAGTGCCTTGAACTTCTTGATTCTTTCTAATGGCCAACAGGGGGCAGCTCCACTGGTCACAAAACAAAGTCAGATTTTATATAAGTCTATGAGAAAATGAACCCACTTCCCACTTGATTTATTACCTCTGTGAACATTTTCCTAATGAGCTTATGATCTTAATCGCTCATTTCAAGTCTTCTTCAGTACAGCTCAAGTTGGCTTTGTGAGTGATGGTCCCATTTACAGTAAAATAGATGATAAAGCTGTAGGATGTGACTACCTTGAGAATGAGAAGTTGCTACCACACTGACCTGTTAACTGAGATAGAAGCGTAGCAGTGCGTCACTGGCAATGCCTCAATCAGTCCCAGTTCTCACTCCACCCCAGTTCCACCTTTAAATCCAAATGTGGTCATTTGTGGCTCCAATAAACTAAAATGGCGAAAGCCAAAATGCCAAACTCAAGGCTTCACAACATAGTCCACAAACCAATGGGTGATGTCATGGTGGCTATATCCACTTCTTTTATAGAGTCTATATGGACAGCTGACAGGCAGACATGGTCATCCCTGGAGTCACAGCGCTACAATGTATTAAAAATGGATGAGCTCTGCAGCATGTATCATATCAGGAAAGGGACCATATATGGCATTCGAGCACTACATTTCCTCGCCAGTGATGTTATCGGGTCCCTGAGTCAGCTGCAGAGTCAGCCAGCAGCAGCTGATATCACAGGTTACAGTAAAGGGTCTCTGGTTTGAGGCCTTGTTCATTCGAAAGATAACAGGAACAAACACAAGAAATATGAATTGTTTCTGGGTGCTATTCTAGGTTATGTCCTTTTCTCAGTATTATCAGAGATGTTCTACATCCTCTCCTCCCCTTCCTTCCCTCCCAGTCCTATTCCCTTGGATACATTAGGGTGCAGCAATAAACACTCTCTATAGACCAATAATATTTCCAGAGTGAAATACAGTCAGGTCCATAATTATTTGGACAGTGATACAGTTGTCATCATTTTGGCTCTGTACACCACCACAATGGGTTTTAAATGAAACAATGAATACCTGCTTAAAGTGCAGACTCTCAGCTTTCATTTAAGGCTTTTTTCAAAAATGTAGTATGAACTGTGTAGGAATTACAACCATTTCTTCACACAGTCCCCCAACTTTAAGGGCTCATAAGTATTTGGACAAACTAACATAATCATCAATTAAACAGTCAGTTTTAATACTTGGTTGCAAATCCTTTACAGTCAATGACTGCCTCAAGTGTTGGACACACAGACATCACCAGATGCTGGGTTTCTTTTGCATCTTGTGATAAACCCTCTGTATTTATTCTAGTGAAGTCTTGTCTTGCTTACAAGAGCAGCAGGATGAAAGCTGAAGTGTTTGGGGCACCATTATCTGCTCAGATTCAACTAAATGCTTCAAAACTCATTGGACGATGCTTCACAGTGCAGTTGGACATTGACCTGAAGCATAATGCAAAAGCAACCAAAGACATTTTTAAGGCAAAGAAGTGGAATGTTCTGCAATGGCCAAGTCATATCATCTGACCTGAATCCAACTGAACATGCGTTTCTCTTGCTGAAGCCAAAACTGAGGGCAAAACACCCAAAACACAAGCAGGAAGTGCAGACGGCTACAGTAAAGGGCTGGCAGAGCATCACCAGGGAAGAAACCCAGCATCTGATGATGCCTATGTGTCCAACACTTCAGGCAGTCATTGACTGTAAAGGATTTGCAACCAAGTATTAAAACTGACTGTTTAATTGATGATTATGTTAGTTTGTCCAAATATTTATGAGCCCTTAAAGTTGGGGGACTGTGTGAAGAAATGGTTGTAATTCCTACACGGTTCATACTACATTTTTGAAAAAAGCCTTAAATGAAAGCTGAGAGTCTGCACTTTAAGCATGTATTCATTGTTTCATTTAAAACCCATTGTGGTGGTGTACAGAGCCAAAATGATGACAACTGTATCATTGTCCAAATAATTATGGACCTGACTGTACGTGTCAAGGAGTGACAACATTTACAGTGGTGTACATCAACAGGAACCACTTTGAGTTTTATTTCGCCTCTGTAGTTGGAAGTAAATGAATTTTTCTTGCACATCCTGCTGTTGCTCATCGGTGAGTAGAAGTAAAACTTTTAAAGGCTTCCTGGGAAGGATTACTACAATGAGCATTATAAATATTCATATCAGGGGCCAAAATGCTGATTATGCTGATGACCACTGTGGAAGGCATCAGGTCCAGTAAATTGTCCGTGTTTATGTTAACTGGTCGAGATCACCCAGGGGGGATTTTATTACCTTCCAGTAAATATTTTGTTTTAGCAGCTCTGACTGAGCACATTCTGCTGCCCAGCTACCACTCTGTGTATTAACTGGACCTCGGCCACTGTCCAGAAGTAAGTTGCTGCTGATTCGCTGTAGTTTCATGCCTGGTCGAGGGCCAGGATGACTGTGTAGAAGCCTTGGTTCTCCTTTTTTTTTCTTTTGCTCTTAAACACTTGCTGATGACGCACAAATCGGAGGCATATTAATGGTGTCAGGCAGCTGAACTGCTGTTAAAAGCTTCTAAAAGTCTAATCTAAGAAATGCTTAAAGACATGTAACCAAGATAACCTGCCCTTGATTTTCTATCTTTGAGCCCTGAGACTTGAATGCATTAATCATCTTTGGTATTAAAAATACATGAGATAGTAATCTGGTCTCAAATTGACTGTGCACACTGACATTGAACAGAGAATCAACTGTTCTATTACTTGAATTAACCCAGGATTTAATTGCATTTCATGGACCAAACTTAACATGAAGGACAATGAAATTCTGCTGTAGGACATTTTCTTCACACCCGTAGCTTTTATCAAGAAAATTAGATGTTTAAGAGACTTTTGGTGGAGTCGGCCTTTAAGTCTCCCCTCTGCCACCCTTAATCCCCCTGTGTGTCAGAGACGTTGTTGGCGGTCACGCACATGGACAGTGTTTTCATTTAGGGCCGCTGCAATCACCTAACACACCCACAACTGACCTGGGAATTTGTCTGGGTTGGTGTTACGGTCTCTGGACCTTAGTAGCCTACAGTTATTTTCTGTGTTTAATGTGCTGTGCGTGTCATTATGGGAATTATTCGGCCAGCACTTGTCAATCATTTACGTGTGTGTCTAATTGCTCTTCTGGAGGGAATCCCCGGCGGACCACGCCTCCAGCCCGCTTTCCTCTGCTGCTGTTCAGTGTTCCCTCGCTTGCTGGTCGGCCGGCCCCCTCGCTGTCGTCATCGGTTCCGGCCAATCACCGCTTCACCGGCCCCTCGTCCGAATCTTTAAAGGCTGCACGAAGTCAAGCGCAATGGCGGCTGTGATTTAATCTGAGCAGTCCGCCTCACTCCGTTTGTGTTTTCTGCTGTTATAATCTGTTTGTTGTTGTTGTTGTTGTTGTTGTTGTTGTATTTGGGAATATATGGGCTTTAGGATTTAGCTTTGTAGCCTAGCCACATATCCTTTGTACACACACGTAGATTGTTTGATGTATAATACACTAGCTTTATGGGTGTCGGTTTGAGTGTTGTTTTGTTTGTGAGGTAAGTCATAGAGCAGACAGACAGATTTGTTTAAGTTTTGTTATTCTGGGTGGCCTTCCACCACCGTTAGTTAAGTTAGTTGGGGTGTTTATTTTGTTGGTGACAGGTCAGAGTTTTGTTTTAATTGTTTTATGGTTTGCCGTCACCCGCCGCCCTTCCCTGAATTTGTTTAAATGTAATTTACCGCCGAGGCTCATTTCGTGAAGCCCGATTTCCGGGTTGTGTTACAGAGCCTGCGAGCGCGTTTTTCTTTTTTGTACCGCCTTTTTTTTTTTTTTTATAAAGCGTAGCTTGTATTGTTTATTTTGTGAATGAATAAACGGCAGCTTGCCTTATTCACTTCATTGTTTGGTTTTATGTTGCTTCCCTTACCCCTAGACACATACTGGGTTGTAACAGTTGGTTACACATGCAGACGTGCAGTATGTGCATACCCAACTTGTACTCCACCCTGCAGCCTTCCACTCAGAAAATGGCAATTTCAGCTTCTATTAAGTTAATTTAATTTATTTTGTCATTTGTAGGGCCTATTAATCTACTGTTTGTACATCAAAAATGAGTTATGGTACTAGTGTAATGCATTATTTCCCTTTTTTGATTCTGTTTTTAACTTTGTCAGAACATAACCTTAATGATTGTGCTGGCTTTGCACGGCACTTCCCAGGGATCACTCACTGAACAATGGACCCAGTCGTGTGACAACTTTTTCCTTGGGTTTTCTATTTAATGATGGGATTTACTGCTCATACTTACCACACGATTGTTCTTCTATTTATTCCAACCAAGCGCTGTTGCTGCTGCCAGAGACATAAAATGTGTCACTTCCTGTGTGCTGAGTAAATTTTCCCAGGAAAGCCCTAACAGAGTTACTTAGAACAGCACGTTTGCTATTGGGTTGGAGCAGCTGGATTACATCTGTTTACATCACAATAATGACTTTTTTTTCAGGCTACAAGGAGTGTAAGCGTATTCAACTTATTATGTGAGCAATACAAAGCAAAGTAATCCATATATCTGCATAACTCACATAGGAAAACCCCTTTCCCGTCAGAGTAAACGCCCTAATCATCCTTGTTGCAGCAGATCAAATCAGTGGGAAGTAAAATGAAAACATCTTCAGCCACAAAGCCCATTGTGCTCACAAACCTCACATTTTTCTCCCACGTTTGTAGTTGTGTCATCACATTCGCTCACAGCCACTCCTCCAAAACTATACGTGCGTCAAACAAGACGTCATACATTTTACATTTTGCAAGCAGTGTAGTCCCATAGGTGTCATTGGGTGAATTTTATGAGCTAAATCTGATCTACAGAATTTACATTTCTTTTTTCATACTTTCAACTTTTAATAGTGACCCTGCTAATTATTAGCAAACAGCCAAACCCAGCCTGCCTGTGATTAAAGACAAAAGATGATGACAGAAAGAGAAGCAGTAGAAAAGCACATAGAAAAAAATAAGACAGGTCTATATCTGGTGAAAATCTCACTTCTCAAAATACCTTTTCTGAATCTTGATGCTTTGTTTTTTTTTCCCCCCTCCCCTCCTTGTCTCTGAGGTATCCGTCCGCAGATGTTCTGCTCATAAACGTTAAGAGGCACCTGCCTCTCCTCTGGTCATAACATCCTCACCCCCCAACTTCCACTTGGCAACATGGGCGTCTTCTCAGCCTGTCTCCCCACACCGCCTGTCCCACCTTCACCTCCTTTGGATTACATAAATAACATGACATCTGCTGAGAAAGAATGTCTGTCTGCTCCTGTGTTCTCCATTAAGGCCCCCCAGGCCCCGAGTGGTTTGGCCAGCAGAAAGATGTGGTGCTGCCTTTGGTATTGCGGCCTTGTCTCTGACTCAAAGTGCCTCATAGTCTGAATAACTTTCTGTTTCTGTGAAAGTCATGTGGACTCCCCACAGATTCTTAGTTCATCTAAATGTCTATTTCCTGTCTGTCTGTTATCTGTGTGTGTAGATTATGCAGCAAATGAGCGACCATCGCTATGACAAACTGACGGTGCCTGATGACTTGGCTGCTAACTGCATCTACATGAACCTACCTAATAAGGGACATGTGCTCTTGCACACCTCAGCAGAGCAGTTTCCGGAGAGTGCTAAGGTAATGCTCTGCTCATTTCACATCCACACACAGTGCTATTATCTCAGTCACACAATCACACATTCATTTACAATCCTGAGGCTACACCTTCAGGAGGAAGAAACCCCGTCAGGACAACCAGTCTGGTTTAGTGGCTTATATTTAAAGAGCACTTGCCTTTGTTGCTCTCCATCCTGTCCAGACCTCTGAGATAAACAAGTGGCTGGAGAGGGAAACCCTGCAGAATCTACAGTATGTGGTTGTTTTACACACACCACCACAGGTCAACCACCGCCAGCACTGTGTTTTTTTTAACAAAGGAACCGGCAGTTTTATGTGATGTGACCTTTTGTGGACATGACTCAGGCGGCAGACTAGGAGCTGGAGACACTGGGTGCTTTTTTCGCCTCAAAACTTGAGTTATTCATCAAAGCTGATTCAAAAATAGTTCTTAAAGCTGGTATAATCAATATTTTTAGCTGCAACCAGCAGCTCTGTAGCTTGCTTTGTTGGTTTGTTGGTTCCCAAATAATTACCACACCCTTTGGTGGCAACATTTTCCACCCTAGAAGGCTCAAATTTGGCATTAAGGTCAAGTGTGCGTGTGAAGGTGTGTGTTTGTGTCATTGTGGGCTAAAAGAGGGCTTTGTAATGGGGTGGATGCATGCGTTTAAGTGGTTGCAGCTATTGCGAATTCACACTTGTTCTATTAACAGTGGATCAAATGACTGCGTGGATGTGAGAGCAGTCACACGGCATGTCTAACACACAAGAAGTTATTCCCTGACTCTGCAGCTTCTTGTTGTTTTGGTTCAGTTTCAGCATTCTCATCCATGCCTTTTCACACGCAGCAAGCAGCTCTGAAAAATTATTTCATTCACTATCCATAACTGCTTATCCTGTTGAGGGTCATGGGGAGTCTGGAGCCTAACCCAGCTGACATTGGGCGAGAAGTGGGGTACACCCTGGACAGGTCGCCAGACTGATCAGATAGAGACCGCTACACGCAAGGGAAATCTCCACACAGAAGGGCCCCGGTTGGCCAGGGGGTTTGATCCTGCAACCCAGAACTCTCTTGCTGTAGGGTGACGGTGCTAACCACTGCACCACTGTGCGGCCCTAGCTCTGGAATAATAAATAAGTAAGCCAATGAGTGTTAACATGGAGGCCAAGTCTCCCTTTGTTGGGGAACAGTATATAAGTAACTTAAATTACTTCATATACAGACTAGCAAGTTCCACATTATACCTTTTGCATTTTATTTCTACCACTTATTTAGATTATCCACACAGGCCTATGGTCTGGGCTCTACTTTAAAATGAAGGCAAAATGCCAAAAATATACCTTAAAAATGCTTCCCTGACTGCACCAATTCCTGATGAAAGTAAAATTGCTTCCTGTTATATAGAAAATTGTTTTTGTACTCATGGTTGCCAAGTTGGCACTACTTCAGGAACTCATAAGCAAAATGCCAAAAGAAATCTATAAGGTTGAAACTAATTATTTTCAAAGGAATATTGAAAATTTGCTCTGAGTGCCGTCTTAAGAACAGCCCTTACAGCATGTGTTCTTTGTTAAACTGTTAAGTGCTGTATGCTGGCTCGACATACCTGGCTGAACTCATCTCCAACAGCGTCTCACAGCTTACACCGTCACTGCAAGTACACATATAACCACAGCCGTTCTTAAATTTCTTTCAGACAAACAGTGACCTACTTGCGAACACCGTCAAGACGTGCCTTTCACTTGTGACACATTGCGCAGTGTTTTCCACAGTAGTTCACCGTGAATGACATGTTATTGTCTCACTTTGTCTGTTGGGGTTTGGTAAAGGCTGAGCAGCAGCCATGTTATTTAGATGCCTTGGGGTCGCCCCACATCACAACAAGTCGAAAGGATTCACACAGGATCGAACCCAGCACCCTACAATCTGCAGAGACAGTGCTCAGACCTCAAAATGTACTCTGTGGTTAGAACCCCTACCTCCGCCAGCTATTTTTAGACGGAAGAATTCACAAAATTATACGTCTTTGGACTTGCATCCACGGTGAAGGCTCAGTAGTTTTTTCCAGGAAGATTAACTGAGGGAATTCAACTCGAGCATAATAAAAATCTATTTGTGTATCTTGTGTTTCCTGCTTTGGAAGCACCTTTGAACGGACCATTTGGAGCAATATTTGAGGAATGTATGTTTGTTCCATGATCCAGTTTCCTTAATAATGTTCAAACCCACCAGAAACTGGCCGGAATACCATTTTTGGTCCAAATTTGTGTTGAAGGAATTGTAGCTTAAAGAAAGTGGAAAAATTTAAAAAGCACATAGCTGAGAGTTGACTATCAAGCCTCGCTGTACAGTCTGTCTACAGTTGGTGCATGTTTCCCAAGGGACCTTGTGGTTTCTTCCTCCAATGAGATGTAGAGATTTCTCAGCACAATCACAGAGAAACTCTGCAAGACTTCTGCTGCTTTCCAACTCTAAACATTGTCTGTCCTAATCTCCGGTCTATTTTTAGTTTGCTCGTAAAGTTACATAAGAGTTCCACATTAACAAAGGCAGGGGGTCATGAGAGAGGATTGGTTGGGGTCGTGGGCGGGTGGAGACGGGGCATCTTAAATTGGTTAGTAGAGGGCGATGGGTCCAGAGGGCTTGGTTTGCAGATAAAGAAAGTAAGCAGACAAAGGGCCCAGTGAATTATAGCAGCTCCTACTGTGTGGGACCATGCCACCCTCCAACCCCACATATAAATATCACCAGCAGTAATGACAACTCAGCTGGAAATGTTACAAAAAAAGAGACACTGTGGAGGTGGAGGTGCTATAAAAAGCAGGGGATTTAGTGGTGTTGTTTTCAGGGGAGTTATGCAAAAGCACAACCTTCCCTGAGTTGACCCTCAGATCATATGGTCTAAACAGAAGGATTTTGGATGGTGCCCAAAACTTTGGTTTAGACTGAAATATCTCAGCAAGCATAGCCAAACAGATGTTCGTGTTCCCCAGAGGATGTGTCCCGTCTGACTTTGGTGATCCCCAACGTTACCTCTGGCGTTTCTGACTTTTTTTTTTTTGCTTTTTGTGAAACGTCTCTATATAATATTCAGTGGGTTGCCTTTAAATTTGGTACACACATTCATGTTCCACTTGGGATAATCTCTCCCAACAGATATTTGTTTATGTATGCATAATCTGTAGGCAACAGGGCTAGATTTTGGTATTGAAAACGTTCAAGTTTCTGTTTGTAGCTCAGGTGGTTTGACCAGTCTGGTGGGTCCCAAGATTGGCCATAGGATCAAATGGAACACAACTTTGGAAATAACAATTTTGGTGTAATAGTTTAGCCAATCACTTAACAAGTGCCGTCGGGTCTAAATTTTAATTTATTCAACACTTTACTTTGAGGTTTGGTCAAAAAACAATTATATGAAAATAGCAGATAATATTGTTTCAGTAAGGTGATGCAGTGCCATTGTTTGAATTACTAAGCAAGAGCCCTGGCCTGTACTCTTCCCACATTACACATAATGTCAGGGGTAGAGTAGAAACAATAGTTCTAAGGCACACGAGAGCAGCATCTTTAAACATGGCGTTTGTATCATCAGAGGCTTCGTCAGCCATATTGCATCACGAGATAAGAATTTGTTTAACTGGCCCTTCTGGCTGAGCCGCAAGGCCTCGCTCAGTATCACAGCGGGGTTGAAATGAGAGTTTAAAGAGAAAAATATCCTGGTTTGGAAGTCTGGTAGGAAAACACTGGTTTTCTTCTGGAACACGTCCACAGGGTGACACACTCCTTTACGAGGGTCTTTTGAGAATGTCGTAATAGTTCTCACTCCCATCTTTTTTTTTATATATTTTGCTGGGAGAGCAGGAAACCTTCTTGAATGCTTGTTCTCCTACTTCACAGTTTGTGTCCCTCTGCAGCTCGTTTATATCACAGAACATTACAAGTCGACAGGTAGCGTAAACAAACTGAAGTGTTGCATAAGTTCTCCCTTTCAGTTTAACTACTGCCAGCTGAACTGTACTTCAGCCTTTTCTAAAGGCCTTGTTGTAGTGCTGGCTGGTCAGTACCTGTAGCACTGGCTCACAGATATGGTACCCAAGGACAGGGTCGGGGGGGCAGAAAGGGAACAGCTGTTGCCATGACGATATCTATTTTGTATTTAATTGTTTTGAGGGGCAGGTTTTTGATTCCGAAATATGTTTTTTCCAGAGATATTTGGCTGAACACCGTGATGATCTGTTGAATTTCAGCTGACATAATTATAAAATAATCATCTGTAATTTCTAAACAGAATAATTTCAAAGAACACGGTGTCCGTTTTCCCAATGACAGCCTTGTCCTCGTGTCCCGCAGGTGTTCGAGAAGTTGAAGGACCACATGCTGATTCCCTTGTCCAGCTTGGAGAAGAGCAAAGTGGACGGAGCCCTCACATGCTGCTCTGTACTCCTCAACAAGAACGCCAACATCTGAGCGCGCTCACCAGGGGGTCTCTCAGTACATGGCAACCAAGCAGAGCCTGTATCCAATCACAAATGCTCTCGAGGTTAATAAACATCTCGGTACTTAGAGGAAGGATTGGATGGAGTCATCAGATCTCCCTTTTCCCCCAAAACACTCAATTTACGTGAAGCAGTCTTAAAAGTGTGAATAGATCAGTTGACATAAAACATAATTAGTTTTAGGTAATCATTAGTCGTGTTTTTTTAGCCAACATTTTAAATCTTGCGAACAAAAGAAATGCAAATTAGGCGCATTTCCATAGTGATCCTCATGCACGTTTGGAGTGAATAAATAAGGCTCCACAAAGCATAGTTTTGTCTGAAGTTCGGGCTGTGCTGCTGGTGGATCACAGCCCTGCCGACTGTGATCCACCAGCACACATAGTAGAAGAAGTAGAGTAAAAGCAAGTTGCCTTGGCTATCTAACAATCCATAAGGGAAAAATGAAGGGAAATTTTCAGGAATTTGTTTCAGTTTTCCAAGTTTTAATTGCACCTTTATGTCAGCTAGTACGGCGATGTTTCATGCTGTCTGGCAACAAAGAAAAATTAGTGCAGTGATTTTAATGCACAAATGAAGATAATGTCAGTGGACCAAATGTTCGCTACATCAGACTTTATTCAGCAAATGTGTTTCCGTATCCCATTCACTGAATCAGCCCTCTTTCAACAAAAGCAAAAACCATCTCAAGTGAGTGTAAAAACTTTTTTTGCATGACAGAGGAAGTTCTATCAAATTTTGCTGTTTCCATTCAGCTTTTCTACTACGATGCTTCAAAATGCACAAAAAATGTTTATGGAAACATGGCTGTCGTCTGTATAAGAATTAATATATTGATTAAAATTTGTTTTATTTTGCTCTTTATTTGGATGCACTGATATTTTCTATATAAAACTAAAAAATACAAGGTAAAAGAAGAGGCTTACATGTTAGATAATGGGTCATTATTCTCCCCATATAATGCCACACATGTTTTTGACAGTATTTGCTCGTCCACAAACTATTAGAATTTAATTTAATCAATTTGATCCCAGATCAGAAGCGGAGGTAGAACATGTGCCATGTTGAACCCACCCTTCAAACCTGCAGAGCCCCTAATGCTCGTGTCTAAACCAATCCTTGCTTACACTAATCAATGTTTACAACCCTTTAAGACTACCACAGAGAACAGAGCTCTGGAGCAACAAAACCAGATGGATCATAGTTTTTGTTGTTATTGAAATGTAGTCTTACCAACATTAGACCGCGGGTTTATAAATTACATAACTAACAGACATCCAGAGAGGAAAATGTATACAGTTAGTTTCGACTGTTTACATGCACCATTTTAACTGTGATTTAATTTTGTGTGTGGTCAGTTAGATAATGCAATAGGGTTTGTAATTCATTTTTCAAGAACTGTATTTTGGTGCAAGATGAGGGGAAAAAATCCTGCTGCTGCTGTAATACCACAACCACAAACATGTTAATTTGCTGTTTCTTTACAGTTGGTGCTGAATACATTTCATGACCATACGATATTTCCAAAACAGCTTTCCATATTTCTTACAAATGCATGGTCATACATCTGACTACGAGGTTGTTTCTCACTCTGAAAATACAGTTCTTGAAAAGCCTTTGGAAGATGTGAGATTTTGGTATGATCGCACTGTTAATGATGATTTTGTGAGTAATATTAGACGTACTGCCATTGATACCTGAGGTGCTCTTACTTTTCATGACTGTTGTGTATTAAAGCTATGGTCTACGTTTAGAAAGATTGATCATTATTATTAACATCATTTAGATGGTGGTTATGGCCCAATAGTGCTAGCTACACAATGTGAAGAGGAAAAAGGAACCAAAAAAAATCCATTCTCTCTGGCGGCTACAGGCCTGCAAAGAAATTGACCAATCACAGTCATCCGGCCCGCATGGGAGTTACTCCTTGCTCACATTTGCACTCTCTCCCTCTCTTACCCTCCGTCCAATCCCCTCGCTCCATTTTGACACTCCTCTGCTCCTCGTCCCGCATCATCCCAACCCCCCTCCGCATTTGAAAGTACGAGCGCTTTGTAAGGCCCTGAGCCATTCAGCTACACAAGTTTCAATATGGAAAATAAAGAGAGCAATAGCAGCAAACGGCCTCTGCTTGCCCCACCAGCAAAGGCCGAAAGGAAGAGTAAGTCTGCCTCTGAAAAGGCAGAAGCGAAGAGGAAATGCGACAAATTGAGGGCTCAAAGCAGAGTAAACATCGGGTCATCCTTTGACCGATGGAGAAAGCTCCGGCAAGATCTGGGCCTGAAAAGTGATGCTGATACAGCAGAGTTTTTGTTGAACAGGTAATATTTCGTTTTTATTGTGAATGTTGTGACATAGATAACTGTATGCCAATGCTGGCTTATGACTGTGAAAGCTGCCGTTAGTTTTTTGTCTGGTTAGACGACGTCGAAACATTTTCTTTCTATGCGGGAGGGGGGGTGTCGTTAGGAGGCTCCAAGGGGAGGGGGACACGAGCTCGGAGGGGAGGGATCATGGAGGACATCGTCTTTCTAAACGTAGACCATAGCTTTTATCACTGCTATTGATTGTACAGGTACTGGAAGCAATTTTTGACTGATCTCAATAAACACCAGATACAGAAGCCAACAGTAGCTTGTTGATTTATTCTACATGGACATTATTTGGCCATTTTGTTTAAGCTATTTGGCATCCCTCCTGCTGAGCCTTTGTTTAGATTCATGCGGGAATGCCAGTGTATTAATCTGTGCCAACCCCCACAGAGGACAGATAAAAGCTGCCTGTGTGGGGACTGTATGTTTTCATTATCTTAAAATGAAGTAATTTATTCCAACATAACACCTCTGCTCCTCCTAATGTCTGTACGGGGAACCAGTGACTGTACTCCTGCTTAATGACTCTGAAGGCACTGTAGTTTTCACACTCCATTGGTTCTTTCTGTGTTGTTGATTACACTGATTTCATTTTTTTTTTCTTCCTGTCTAGCAGTTTTTAGTCAAACTGACTCAGAGCGTGCTGTGAAACTGATGTCTGTTCCACTAAATCCAATCGCACCAAATGTGACAGCAGTGAGAGAGTTTGCACTCAGCATGCAGAACAAGCTAACTGTTTGGTGTGCTTCCATGTGTGCTAACAAATGGTAGCTGCAAACAGGAGTTTGAAGGACGTCAGTGAGCTCTGTCTCGGTGGCCATGTCTCTGTTGTTGCTGAATTCATGTTTTGAGGCCTGTAGATGTGAGAACATGGTGTGTGTAAACATGTATACTGTACATACGCTATATACTGTACATGTTAAAGCCCATCACATGTGAAACCATGTTTTTCCTCAATGTGATTGTAAGTGAAAGTTGAGGAAATGACATCAGGAGGTGATTCAGCCTCCCTCTGTAGACGTTTGCGTATGGACAAGTGGGCAGTGATGAAACATGGAAAGAATTCCTGTTGGGAGGAGAGGCTCGTACACCAGTAAACACTGACTCTCTTAAACTCTCTCTGTCTTTCTGTCTCGCTCGCAGCACTCGCACTCTCCCACCCTCTGCTATTGCCTCATAGACGATCTGGGCTAATTTATGGCCATGATATCATACAGTCTGGCGAACACTGTAGATGTGATGGACTGCCGTTAAAGTGTGACACTGGTAGTATATTTTACAGAAGGCGGCTGGCTGGATGCAAGGTGATAGCATAGTTGCAAAGCATCCAGTTCAGTTTCTCACGCAGTTACTCCAGAAGGCTGAGCCAGGCAGGAGCAGTTGGACACTGTCTGATTAGTTCAATGTCAACCACTGGATTTTATCTAAAATGGTCATCCTCTCTTATATTGCTCTCAGTCGCCTGTGGGCTGTCCAGCTCTGGGGCGCTATAACCTTTTCCTATCGCTGATTTAAAATCAGAACATTTAATACATTTCTTAGCTCTTGGCTAGCGAGCCTGTCTGTGAGTAACTGCTCCTGAAAATGTGTGCTGACTTTGTTATCCTCTTACTAATCCCCTCACTCATCACTGTAGTCATGATGTTGTGATTGCCCCAGGTCCAACTGAGGTCTCTTGGTTTTCATACAAGTTGTGAGTAATAATTATTTGAGTCATCTTAAATTGAGCCTTTCATCTACTTTGTGTAATAAATTAACATTTAGCATTCAACTGTGTCAGTTGTCTTTCTTTTTTTGAAATATTCAGGTTAAATTCATGATTAATTTCAATTTAATTCATATTTTGAAAATATATTTTCAACAATAACCTTCAAGGACAATGTTGGTATGATGTCAGGTGAGATATGGTACAAATGTGAATCTGGGCCAATGTCTTAACTGTTGTCTCATTTCCAGTGATGTACTGTAGAGTGAGTAGCTTTGTCTCAGTGAGGACATGCTATGAAAACACAGATCAACTCTGACCGCTGATCTCTGCTACCATCTAGTGGCACCAAAAATGTAAGAGAGACTAAAATACAGCTGCTGTTTGGTTGGAGGTAAGACAAGCTGCTCAAGTCAGTTAAAAATCGTGTGTCTTCTATGTTGTGCTTTCACATGTACCCAGGAAAGTCCAAACAGTGTCCTTCACAAAAAATACAACTGGCAGAAAAACAGCTTCTCAATTTTTATTGAAAAAAATACAAATCCTCAAGTTATAATGTAATGCATAATGACTTTAAAGCTTGAGACAAGAGTCCATATAACAACAAACAGTGGCAAGGCAATGTAAAAAATGAACAAATCAAATTCTGGTGCTTTTCAGCAGCAGATCACTTGGAAAGCTAATAAAATATACAAAATTGACATGTCAAATTTGAGCAGAAGTCACACTTGCATGCTAAATTAAAAAGAAAAAAAAAGTTTAAACTCAAACTGACACAACATTTGAATGTATCTTCCTCTGAAATCTCCTTCAAATATATACATATATATTTTAGTCTAAGGTAACCTAAGTGTAGAACAATACTACCTGGTAAATATTGTGTGTCTTATTGATCAACAAAGCCACTGAGTGGGGTCTCACAAAGTATCTCGTGGTCTACTGTTCACTCTAGTGGACATAAGAAGACATGGCAGTGTAGATAAACTGTCAGCCCTGATGTGGACAAACTCATACATTATATACAATTACTGATGTAATATCTAATATAGTATGCCAAAATATAGCATATAAAACTTAAAGCTTGAACTCTCATAAAAATGGCATATTCTTGTTTTTGAATGTGATTTGTACATCTAAGTAATTAATCTCTAAATTTGTGGTGTACTCATAACATTTCAGCTCCAAGACTGTATCACGAATGACTGAAATGTTGAGAGAGAGGATGCCATGATCAAAAGAAAACCCCATTATACTGTGAATACATGGTAACACGCCTTTTTTTAAGCCACATGGTGCATTAATCCTGAAATTCTTAGGTTAATAATAAAGTGTATACATGTGATCTGCACCACTGGAAACAAAGTACACTTGTTGTATTGTACATTTAGCTGCAGGGGAAGTTAGTGTAGAGGTTACCTGGCCCCCTTGAAGCACCAACCTTGCAGTTGACTTTGTCTGCCAGCTTGGCCTGAGACAAGTAGGAATAGTTTAGGAATTCACCACCTAAACCTGGTGGGATACAGACTGAGCCATCACTGCAGGAACTGTCACATGTTTCAAAGAGCTCATCGTTCGTCCCCAAGCCTTCTTTCTCTCCAAAGTCCTCATAGACATACGTGTTTCCTTTGGGGCAAAGAATGATACTGTCTTTGTTTAGAGTCACGTAGTCTGGAAAGATATCAGTCCCACGGCTTCCATCGACCAGTTCTCCGCTGCAGAATCTTTCTGGTGACAGGAGCTGGGTGGAGCCCTCTGATGAAACCTCATGTTCAGACAGTATCTCCACCACAGATGAAGTGGTTTCCTCATAGCACTGCTTTGCTGTTATTGGAGGATTCTGCTGTTTGAGCACAAAGTGGTTGATTTAACACCTAAGGACACACTCTCAAGTCATATTTTGTTATGACTTGTGTTTTACCTACTTCCTATTTGATATCTGAATCTATATTTGTATGTATACAACTGTTTCACCACAGTATAAGCTCTGTGTAATGAGATAGGCTGCCTGTGTGTGAAGTAATGGTGCATGTATTATGTATTAGGCTAAATTCTGTGGTTAAATAATTTACCCATCTTGGCTCGTTGATCTCTGTCAGAAAACCATGGAGGACTTTGTCAAGGTTGGGCACCGGCGGCCAGAAATACTGCTTGAGCTTACTATAGAAACACAAAATAACAGACATGAAAACCATCTTCAAACAATGTGGAAAGTCATTAAAATAGTTGGTTAAACTTTTTGGAGACTTAATAGAGTAGTTAGCAATTAAAATGGTTTTTATAACAATAAAAATGACTGCAAGTTTTGACTGTACAGTATGAGCTGATTTTATTTCATTTCAAGATGTTATCTAAGAGGTGGCTGAGAACCTACCCAAGGTACGTAGAGAACAGGAAAATGAAGATGATAGCAGTTATCAGCATCAGGATGGAGATACACACGACCACGAGCAATATGCCTGTAAAGGTTATTGATATTGCATTAAGGTTTGAATGGTGTCCAGTAGTTTTATTGAATCAGAGTTACAAGAACTAGATTTCATATGTCTATGATGATTAGATTTTAATATATCAAGACACAACAGTGCATTTTATAGACTACCATTATCACACAACCACATTTGAATGAACCTCTTGTTTTTCTTACAAAATAACAGACAAAGAATTTACTAAATTGGGGATTACTACATAAATAAGTGTGCTTTACACAGATTTTTATGTGTCTGAGTGTGAGCTTACCTACGTCAGTGGGGGTGTCACCTGTAAGTGCATCTGACCAGTCACTCCAGCGGCCTGAGTAAATGGATCCATTAGGTTTAGCTCTTAATTTAACACTGTACCGGCAACCTGCTTGAACCTCTAGACAAGTGCTGGTCTCAGGACCCTTTAGAGATACAGTCTGGGGACAGAAAGGTTGATATGATGTTCAATTTTAAGAACATTAAAAGACAATCGTAGTGATGAAATATAGTCATGTTCCCTCGCAATACTGCGTTTGAATGCAATTGCTTTCCATTCCCTGAATACTGTTGCCTATTGCACAAAATATTCTTTTGCATGTCCTCATGTGTTAGCACAACAATATTTGTGCAGCATCCAGCATTAAACCAACTTAATGAGTAATCTTGAAGATTTTTTACTTTGAATATATCACTGCAAGTAGAATTGAACCTCCCTGCCTTTGGTGCCATCTGGTGGTGTTATCAAAAACGACACTGATACTCTGCTACAGCATCACCCCTCACAGCCACCATTTGTATACAAACAAAAGCTCATGCTATCAGAAAAATTCAAAAATATAAATGTGGAGCGTCAGTGGCTTAGTGGTAGAGCAGGCGCCCCATGTACAAGGCTGTTGGTTTGAGTCCAGCCTGTGGCCCTTTGCTGCATGTCTCTCCCTCTCTCTCCCCCTTTCATGCTTCACTGTCCTGTCGATTAAAAGGCAAAAAATGCCCTAAAAAATATCTTTAAAGGAAATGAAAGGTATAAAAGCACAAAAAAAGGAGGGGAATGCAAAAAGGTTTTTTTTATAATGATAATAATAATTTTGTTTGTATAGCACTAAACAAGGTTACAAAGTGCTTCACAAAGTGCATGAAAATGACAATGCATAATGCAATGCAAAAATAGAACAAAAGGAAATAAAACTCAAAAGTTACAAATCAGAAAGTACAAATCAGGCATTAAATGGGAAAGATTTTCCTACAAAAATATGTTTTAAACAAAAAATGGGTAATGTGCTAGCCAGCCTCATTTCATCAGGTAGAGGATTACAGAGCCTCGGGCCAGAATGGCAAAAGCCTGGTCATGTTTTAGAGTGAGATCACACATCACAATAAGAAAAGATATTTCAGGAACAGTTGCCCCAGGTCATCCTAATCATTAAAACAGAAACAAAAAAAAAACATAAAATTGTGTGGCCATAAAAAACATCTTACCATCCATGCTTCACTCCCTCTGATTTGGTAGCCGACTTCATACTGCAGGTGAGCCGACAGAGACAGAAGAGGAGCTTCCCATTTCAAACACAACCTTTCTCCCTCCAGAGCTCCTCTCAGATGACATGGTGGGGATGTTTTGACTAAAAACAAAGAGCACATATGATCTGTCAGTCCATTAAGTCATGAAACCACACTTAATCTGAGGCCTAATAGGAAAATTAAGAGGTCTCGAAAGAGGTTGCAGTAAGGCTACTAGGGCTCCCACTACTACAGTACCTAAAAAATGCAGTCTGCCGCAAGTAATGTAGAGTGAAAACCTATGATTTATATGGTTTACTCATGATTCATGAGGAAAAGGGCTTGTTTAATATATGCTTATGCAAATCTGATTTTGAATTGTAGATTTAATAATTCATGTGTAAAAAAGGCAAATGTGTTTTATGCACACTAAAATAGAAACCATTTTCAAATGTCTTTAGTTTCATTATAGTACAACTGCTTTGTAATGTGGAGTTATCTGAACGTCTGTCGCTGAAGTACCTTTGCCTCTGAGAAATACTTGACTAAAACTGTAATTTAAGTGGTCTTGAGAACTTTCAGTGTCTGCATCCTCTTTGTCAGATACCATCGCATCAAAGACATGAAAATAAATCGAGAAGTTACAGAAACACAGATAACGCACCTGAAATGAACAAAGAACGGTGGAATAAAAATCACTCACTGCTCTTGTTGAGAGTGAACTCTTGAGTATAGAAGGTCCTGCTGCGTGGAGCTGATGTGCTGCTGAGCTTGACCCTGACTTTTCTGGACTCATCTCCACGGAAACGACACAGTTCACTTAAGTCCTTGTCAGCGCAACACTCGGTCCACTCTGTCCGGCCCAAAGCCTCACTGTAACATCATCACATCAAATCACAGCCAAACACAGTGAGCACTAAAGCTCCACTAAAACTCAATAAAAACATGCCGTTACATTGGTATTGAGAGATCTGATGACTTAAATCAACCAGTGAAATTTGTTTTACAGTAGTAATGAAGTCAGTGATGTACCTTGGTCCCATCTTGTAGAAAAGCTTGTACTCATTCCCTTCACCATATCTGCTGCCATTCCACTGGCAGGTGATATTTTGGAGGTCAGAGGTGTAGCACGTAAGCGAAATATCATCTGAAAAAGAGAGAGTATTTTTCATTCACATATTTCACCTACGCAACAGTTTCCTCTTTCTTTTTTTAGTCACACCTGCACTCTGGGGAACCACGGCTCGCACAGGGTGTGACCAGCTGCTCCAGTGTCCTTCATTTGGATTTAGGGCACATTTGACCATCACCTGGACCTCAACCTCCTCCCCTGGTACCAGAGAGTCTAGTGTGTCCCTCTCCATTGCCTGTAGAATGAACAAACATCATGAAATATATGATATTATTCATATAATTTTTTCACCCACTGTAATTACCAACACAGGCCTACAGGTGAAGGATGGTCATGTGTAATATTCATTGAGTTAATGTCATAACTGGCACAGTAACTTGATTTATCAGATGAGTTACAGATATAATTGATTACATCAGTAAATAATACTGTCATCCCATCATTCTAACTCACATGCTGGGCATACCAGTATGTAAATGATATATACACTGTCTTCATGCTCATACACAGCATGTGTGTGTGAGACAAATTAGGTATACCTCTTTTGTCATCTCTCCCAGCCCTTTGGAGGAGTATCGAATCCTATACATCACTTTATCGTCCCAGTATTCCGGGAGCTTTGCCTGCCATGAAACCTGCAGCTGTCCTGCTTGGCCATTGTGGTGTAAAGACACATTGAAGGGGGGATCCAGGAGGACTAGACACGAGAAGATGATGAAAAAATAAGAACACATTATAGAATCTAACGCTTAAAATAAATCACCAATGTTTAGGCAACAGGTTAAGAGGCATCCTGTCTTTCTTGGTGCATGCTCTTATTGACAAGGGGTCCCAGCAAAGACTTAGGACACACTGAAGGGGGAACAGGCACAGGGCAATCCACATCTCGTCAAACTGCATATAAGAATCATAAATCACAGGAACACCACCACCAGATGAGATGGTGTGGGCAACACAGTGATAGAAATAATTGGGTGGGACGGCCTTATTCAGTGGTAGCCTATATAGTCTTCAGATCTGAGGCCCTTCTTGTCCAAAGGGAGACAAAGTGACTGACGTAGCCCTGCAGACATGTAGAAGCCACCAGTCAACGCTGGAGATGCAGCTGAAATTCTCAGAGCTATTTCTCAGGGTTGGGATAGGAAGCTGTAAAGAATACATCCTGACACACACGTTTATAATTCTATGCAAATCTAGTAAAAAGAAATGTCTTACAGTGGTCCTCCACAGAGACATCGCGACTGTAGAGGCTGATGCTGGTGATGCGCTCCACCACTTCAAGGTGTGTTTCCACAAATGAGAGAACATCTGTCTTAGGAAATGAGCAGATGTGGAGGAAAGTTCCCTCTTCGTTTCTCTGGACAGACATTTCACACCTTTTCTCTCCATGCCGGCTTGATTGGAATTATAACAAGCACAATAGACATGGTGGGACATATACAGTAATCAGTCAAACTGTTTGTATGGCATGGTTCACACAGGTAAGAGCAGTTCACAGTGCTCTACAGGTGACTAATTGAGTAAGAAAAAATGTGTGTATGGTTCAAATGTAAACAAAAATAAGATAATTACATCACTGAAAATGAAAAAAAAATAATACAAGATTTGTTATGTGTCTTGTGGAATATAAAATGAAAAAGTCAATAACTATAAGACACTAAAAGTTCACACTTACACTGATGAACAACAACATGTAACATTAGAAAAATAGTAACATGTCGACAGCATAGAAAATTCCTAACAATATGATTCAGAGAAACTACTGTTTAAAGAATTTTGGAGTTCCTTCATATACAAAACACAATATATTCACTGCCTATAAAACATACCCAGAAATCTTGTAGAGTAAATCATAAGTCCTGTTGTCTGCATTCTCAAAGAAGCAGGTGAAATCCTCCTCTGTGCGTGTGAAACATTTAGGATCTGGCTCATCCTTTAAGAGGAAAACATCTGCTCCAGAAATGACAAACAAAAAGATTGTATTTCTTAACTTCTGAGAGCTAAATGTTAGCTTGAGTGAACAAGATATTACATTGTGGCAACAGGTCAATAAGAGTAATATCTTTCTGTTGTCACCAACAAGATGTTATTTGGGAACAAGACTGATTAATTGCCAGACATACATAAACAATAAAGTAGAATATTGAGCTTCAGAATTGTTTCAGAATAATCAATACACCACCCTTCAGTCCTACCTTCCCTTGACAGATAACTGACACCATCCTTGCAATGAATCCCAGGCACAAAGCCCACTTGTATCCACAAGCTAATCAGGAGTATCCCCCACCTGCAGAGTGAATTCATGGTAGACTGAGGTGTTAAACCTAAACTACCTTGGCATGTAAACCCACACAGCACATGGTTGTATATGTGAATTGTTAGTGTTGTCTGTCATGCATGGTTTTCAGTAGGCATGGGTGGGTAGGCTTGAGAAGTGCTGAGGGGTTGGCCCAATGTGAGTTGTATTTACAGCAGGAAGCTTGTTCTGTGTGTAGTGGAAGTAAGCACCAAAAAAGGCAGGTTGTTAACTGAAACTATAGACTCACATAAGTTATGTTTTCTTCAAATGAGACAATAACAAACAGGAGATGTTGCTGCTGAAGAAGCCTGGCACATGGTTTCAGTCCATCATCTGGCTGGGTTTGCAGGTTTTTTTCTCACTCTACATAAAATTTCTCAAGATTGAACATGTTTTAATGAGGCATATAGAGTGAGACTCATAGCCACCAAAGGCTTTATGAGCTCATTGTAGACTTGAGGAAAGCAGAAGTGGAAAGCACTCAGTAGAGATGACGTGGAGTGCTTCACAAGCTTCAAGATCCTTGGTGTCCACACACATCAGACTCTCTCTCAGCTTCTTGTTGCCTCCTCCCTAATGAGGTACACACAAGAGCGCTTATGCCATCTGAGGAGACTGAAAAAAGCTCCAAACAGCCTCTGCTGATTTACCACATCCTGACCTAGTGCACAACAGCATAGTACACCAGCATGGTCCTACACCTCTGACATTACTCAACTAATGAAGTATTCTCATCCTCCAGCTATCCTGGTTGTCTGCACAGTTAGAGAATTGATTTGTTAATCTAAGAATAAGTTGATCAGTTGACGAGAACAGTGCACTCTTATAATAAATAAAGGCAACATGAATAAACTACGCTTAGCAGCACCTTTTGGTAGCTGCACAGTAGGAGTTCATTTAAACCTGAGGGACCTGTCTTTCCTTCAGTGCAGTCTTTGATATAAAAACCTGTCAAAAACTCTCACTAAAAGGATCTAAAATCATAAATTATGACCAATAAACATTAACCGAGTGTTATATTTAAAGTGTATACAAATTATAAAAGTATATTACATGTAGTTTAGTGCTTAAATGAGTCTCACTCCCGACTCGATGTTTGTTCAGGGGGCCTGTTGACCTCAGACACTGACACACAGAGGCACCATTTAGCAGCGGCAAGGGAGATGACCCAGGCTGCGACATTTCTTAGCGCTCCTGTCGTACGAAGAGTGAGAAAGTCTGCTAAGGACAGGCAGGAATAGAGGTGGATGGTTCAAATGTCAAACATTTTGATAAAAGACAATGCATGTAACGATTATATATCGACATGCTGTCAAGTTGGGACAAGTTGGGGCTGAGAAAATGCTGAAATGACGAATTCCCATCAAAATGTCATGATTTTATTGTCTGTATTTTACTTGGCATGGGTTACTCACTATTGTGAAAGTTAATTTGTGGTTAGCATGCCAACAAACCATGATTTACTGTAATAATTTCCATATTCTCATCGAAAATCATGATTTCACAAACATTTCACTGTGGAAAGGAGCCATGTGCATCTCAAAATGGCTGGAGAACACACAGAGGCTTCACTTTTAAAAGTCTTACACATGATCTAAATCACCAACAGCTCTGGATCAGTTTTAATCCATCTTGAAATAACTGACAAAACTCAGTTATCCGCATATGAAAACCAAAGCTCAGCTCTTGTGCTGACTGATAAAGCTGATGCAGAAGGGTAATCTACAAGTCTGAGGTCTGCTGCTGACTGAAAAGCCCTGTAACATTTACACACAACGTCATTAGCTCTTAAACCACCAGATAACATCGAAATTCATAACAACCACTACCTCTGAAGAAACCCTTAACATTTTCAAAGGTCTAACTTATTGCAGCCACTTCCACTTCTGCTTGGCAAATACAAATGCCTGTGCATCTATTGTAAGAGGCAGAGCTAGTTTGCTCTCTCAGCTGAGCTCCTTAACACACCCTGACAAAACACTCACCCCAACACAGCTTGTGCCTGCAAATCTGGAAATTACCTGTAGCTCCAAACACCAACAGTCTCAGTGCTGTTTCAGATCAGCCCCGTCTGCGGCACCATACCTTTGACCCCAAGCCACTCTCACTACCCCCAAGTTCCTTACCCTCTTACACTAAACTCTGTAGTGTTTAAGCTATAGCAGGCTTTCTGCTTTACTTGGGTCCAACTACACAGGGGTGTCACACAATGGCCCCGGCTTAGTCTACAGGACTACTAGATGCCAATTTATTATGGTACTGATAAGTGTGAAATACTCTCCCCACTGTAACCTTTACACACCAATTTGTTACATCAGTCTGCTCTTTGTTATCTAATGCAGAGTTGTAAAAATTCCTTGTTCTTTTAGTTGAACTTAGTCAGTTTGAATTGTTTAGTTGATTGCCAGAAAATCTATGACTATTCTGAAAAATCAATTGTTTAAGCCATTTTTAAAAAGACAAAAGTAAAAGAATTGTCCTTGTTTATGTCAACATTGCTCTCTTTCTTCCTCCTTGGTCTTCTTTTTTCTATTTTACAGACAAAATTATTTATTATCGAGAAAAAAAAGGTCAGATTAATTGCTACCAACATTAACCGTCAGTTGCAGCCCCCCTCTGTTTGGTCTCTCACTTGCAGCATCAACCACAAATGCAATAATTTCATTACGGTATTACAAAAACAAAAGAGAAATACTCCGGCTGCTGTTTGATGTTCGTAGCTTAGACCTGTGAGCATGAGAACTTTACCAGGTACCAGGAAAACATACTGCAGATGGGTGCTCACCACAGGGTGATATAATCTCTAGTCTGCTAACGCACCGGAGCTTAGATGGCTGGGGTTTGATGAAGCTGATTTGCAAACTGTAAACAAGTCACACATTATTTTCTAAAATGATAAGCCTACCGTACCAAGCAGCCGTATACATGACACTGCAAACAACGATACCAACACATGATTCACTTGAATGCCATTTTAAGTTTAACATTCAGTGACGATTAAAGATTTTTGTGATGATATTTGGACACTATGAGCCTCAGAGGAGGATCTCACAAGTTCCTATAGACATTCCTATTGATATATTAAGCATTAAGCTGTGAAATCTGTTGGGTCTGATGAGAAGTAGCAAGCAACAAACACAAAGCACACACTTTAAGCTATCATTTAGCCCCCACACCTCAGTGTTTCCAAACAGAACTTGGACAAAAAGTCTAATTTTCCTTCCCCACTCTTCTTTTTGTTGGATGACCGATAAGCTCAGTGGCTCTAATTCATGAAAGTTAGCAGGTTGGGTCGGTAAAAAAAAATATAAGAAATACATTTGATAGCAGGTAAAATGAATTTTTCCTAACACTATGTGACCAAATCAGGACATAAGCACCAGAGCGCTGAGGTCACAGATGGAGTTACAGCAGTGCCTACAGAGCTAGTGTCTGATACTCTAAATAATTGTTTAGCTCACTTTCAGATAAGGGATAAAAATAAATGTTATGCCCCTGTTGTTCCTTTTTTACACATTTGCATTGTTGTATAGCCGGTGTCTTTGTGTGGGAGTCCTCAGGAAGCTGGCCCACTGAGTCCGTGTTTGACAGACAGTTATGTGCCTGCGGTTGGTTTGTGGAGGAAACCCAGTGACAGATCAGCTCAGTGCAGCAGGGGAAACAAGTGTTCCTGGACTCTCCAAGGACACTTTGGCCCCCCAGCAGCCGGGCCTGTGGTTTCCCATCGTGCTCACTGTGAAGCAAGCCAGCAGCAACAACAACAACAACAAAGACACAATAATCTACGGCAAAGTCAACATCCTCAGTGTCACAGAAACTAAACTGGAAGCTGGACTCATGCAAACTGCTTGTGGTGATGAGTCCAGTCACTACACACAAAACCTTTTATTCGAGGAACCATTTAATGAAAACATACTGTACAATCTCATATGATGGATATATTACCATACAATGCGTTAGGTTGCATAATGTTAAAGGTAAACTATAATGTTGCTAGCTGGTAGACTGCTGTGCATTTGTCCTGTGTGAGCAGCATTTTCCAAACAACTACTCCTGTGGTGGAGCTTTGCATGCAACATATGGAGCATCTACCATGGTTTCATCTATACTAGTCTGTTACTCGGACTACTATTGAATAGGAGGCTTTGATACATCTATGTGACCTTTAAAAAAATACAAAATATATACAGTAGTAGTTACATTCAAATGGCAGTGATAGCAAACAGTTAAAGACACAGATGGCATGAATGAGACTGGTTTTAAGTGCTACATTGTATTTGTCTTCCTTTTTCGAACAGTCTGAGAACCGGAATATTTGTGATCCACACTGTGTCCTTTTAATATCATTTTTCAATAATAAAAAAATTCCTTCTCCGTTTAGAGCATTGGAGGGAAAATAAAGTCCAGTGTCGACTCCCCACAGACCCTATGGTGTTTCAGCAAGTCACATAGCTCCGTATTTGCCACTTCCCCTCAACACTCAGAAAAAAAAGGGTCCAACATTCTAACTCTTGTAACAGCAAGAGGTAAAATGTTGTGTCTTTTCTTCTGGGACTGATTTGTAGTGATGGAGGGGGGGCAGTATTTCCCAAAAGGTTAGTAGCAATCGCATCTTTCCGTCCAAGGCCCAGCAATCCTCTTCATCTCCTTATGCCTTTGATACCTCCACACAGTGTCCTTTCACAGTCCTCCATCTATAGCTGGGTGGCTTTGGTAGAGCGCCTCGTCCTCCTGTCTCGACGTTGAGGTGCAGGGTGGTGGCAGTAACGTGGCGACCATCCTCGGGACTTCCTCTTGGGGCTACGTGGCATACTAGGGTCTGGGGGGGCTGGTAGTCAGGCCTCCTCTGCAGTGGCGTCGATCCCAGCGTAGGTGAAGTTCTCAAAGAGAGCCATGTTCACATAAGCCTGGAGGATGGAGAGAAGAGGTATTGTCAAGGTATTTGGCAGGCATATGGGAGGTATGATGGCTCCATCTGTGCCGTAGGATAGAGATATACTTGCTTTTTAAACACCCTTTCGTGTAGACTGGCTGCAACCTGAACATAATTGCTTACATGCTTGACTATGTATTTAGTGTGTTATGGGAGAATTCCAACCACTCAGACCAT